GGATAGGGTATTTTTTATTTTGTTCAGTAGGGGGTAGGATATTGTAGAGGGTCTAATATCTAAATAAATAAATATGAATCGTAACTTCAAACAAAGTTTTATTAACATAATTTATAAAATACGCATAATCATAAGTTTTCAGAAGCAGAGAGACTATTATGATTATCTGTAATTGATAACCAATAATTTTTTTCCGTTTCTGCAGATTTCAATTTTTCTAAATATACTGCCCCTTGAAGAGTTGCATTTTTCCCCAATAATTTTTCTTCTTTTCAAGGATTTCTAATTTTAGTCTAAGAATTTGTTGTTGTGATTCATCTTCCGTTGAAGTTTTGGTNAGCATTGTTTTAATTGGTCTATTGTACGATGAGTATAAATATTATGATCTGCTGCTTGAGCAGCATATTCTTCGGCTATCAGGGCCCACGCATTGTTCTTCAGATCTTTCGTAACTTGATCAGTCCGAGGACTTTCCATCACGTTACTCACATCTTCTATCAGAGATAATAATAATATTTTCTCTGATTTTAAAAACTTTGCTTTATGTGAAAGTCAGTTATATCGTTTTCAGCCATCTTTTTGGAATTGAATGTCGCGCCGAAACCGCATCGGCATTTCATGAGACAATCGTAATGAAGTAATGATTTTTCAAAACAATAATTCTTAGGTGCATAACATGACGTATTACATTATATTTTTAGAAACATACATATAAATGGAAGAGCACATAGAAAAGAAAAAATCGAAAGATGATCGCTAGGTTACTTACCAAAGGGCTTACTTTGAAAAGATTATATATATGCTGAACAATTTCGAAAACAAATGCATAATGAAGATGTGAATGTACAACATAAAGATATATCGTTAATAGACGTAGTTTATGCTCTAAGGTTTTACACGTATAATTGTAAGACCAATTTTAATTCTTACAGTAGCATATGGAGAGGATTCAGTGTCGGGAAGAAACAATATTGAATCAACACCTGTAAGTACGTCGATAAGAGAATTTATTCTTTCAGTACTCTCTCATTATAATTGTAAAGCTGTTTTTAATTTTTACATGAGCATATGCAGAGGATTCAATGTCGGGAAGGAGCAATAGTGAATCAACACCTGTAAGTACGTCGATAACAGAGACTTTATTCTTTCAGTACTCTCTCATTATAATTGTAAAACCGTTTTTAATTCTTACAGGAGCATATGCAGAGCAGATCCAGTGTTGGGAATGAGGAAGAATGAATCAATACGCGCGCGGTGCCTAAGTTGCTTGGAATTAATGTACTACCGAAAGCAGAGAAGTTGATATTACAAAGGGAAGGAGACGTAGAATACATGGAGTAATTTGAAACAGTGACAGAAGAACCTGCAACTGATTCGTGATTAATTAGTGTTTCGGTGTTTATAAGAGGACTGATTAAACTTTTATATTTTCACAAAGTATTGTTTCTATTTTTATTATCTTATGCCTTGCCTTCTTTTCTTACTTTTAATGGAAGATAAAATGAATAAGCATGTTCAAAATCAGGCGGGACCACACTGAGGGCAGCACTTGTGGGCTCAAACAGAATTGTTTTCCCCTTCCGCTTTTGGGAACCCTACCCCAAGACTATGCAACGTCCTTTAGGTCCATGCTTCGGACCACCTGTCTTATTACACCGTGTCCTAGACCCTCTGTAAGTTCGGCAAATCTTATAAGACTGATTTCAAGGCCTCATTTTGGATATTAGGCAATCATCTGTTCCTAAGAATAATTTCTGCAAATACAGTCAAAGATAGTGATGAGGAGAAATCATTTACAATGCCAACACCATTAGAGCAATTTGTAGACAGTGTGCGAACGCTCTCGCAACAAGGTACATTCATTGTTTTCACCTATTATCAACCTAACCTATAGTGGGTTAAATATTAATGTATCATTGTATCATGATAATTCGGATGATTTTTCAGCGATTTATTTATTATTGTTGTTGTGTTTGGTCATGTCATGTTTTGTTTCGAATTCCTCTTATCTTTTTCAGAAATATACTAAATATTAATGAAATCATCCAAATATTTGATTTATGTTAGATATATCTGGATTTAGAATATCACGAACGTATACTTACATACTGCATAAGTATTTGAATAGTTTCTGTTAAAAAGTTGTATAAATCGATTCGTAATGAACAATAAATAATGTAACTTTCCAATTATGTTAGTAGTATGTAGTTACTACAACTTTACAGTGCACATGTAAAGTCATAGAGTAATAGTATAAAGTAATAGATGATGTCTTTAGCATATATATAAGACACGGTGACGGTATATGATTTCAAAGAAATTTATACATGTTATCTACACGTGATTCCCATACATAATACATACGATAATTTCAAAATGTTTTGTATACTGTACAGTCTGTGTTCCTTTAAATTAGGAACATATCATCATTCGAATACTTTCGTGAGCCTGTGTATGTTGCATTATGGTTTATAAGGTGCAACATTTTTTATGTATTCTTGTAATAAATTTATTTTGACTCTCACTGCTATTGAAAAATTACTCTCAAATAAGCTGTTTAATCAAAGTAGTTGTTTTGCCTTTATAAAAATTTCTAACTAATAAATATATGGGATAAATAAATATATTGGTTGTCAAATACTTAGTTTACATAATGTTCGTTTCTTATAAAATGCAATTTAAAATGAAATGTAAAAATGAAACCTCGAATAACTTTTTCTTATGTACCTACAGCCTATAAAAGTTGAAGTGCATGTTTTTAAAAACGTTACCCAACAGTATATTAAATTTGAAAAAATCTATTTGTTAATTCTATTACCGATAAAACTCCCTTAAGTGATCTAATAAATTTTAATATGTATTATTTGACGTCATTGTTATCAAATGAGAAATGAAATGGCTGTACGTTGGACTGACAATGATAGTAAGAATAGTGATTTTTTTCAATATAATCACAGAATTAAGACTCAATGGAAATGAATATTCGTAAAAGAAGAATTTTTTATTCAGAGCACAGAAATATTAGCACAGTAAACATTTTAATTTTTATTTCTATTTTTTACATTTTATGAAAGTCAGCCAGAATTAAAATTGTAATCATCCAAATGTATTATCATTTATAATTAGAAATTATATAAGTCTATATATAGTGTGTCCCAGAATGCACATTTCCTCGAAGTGTATGAAGACGGAGACATTTTCAGTAAAAAGATGCTTTTCTACTTTTTACCAGAAAAGTTATTAACGAAAAAATATGGATCAATAGAATGTCTTGCACAACGGTTATGTGATAATTTTCGATAATTTTGAGACATCCTCTACATATAGCTAGGACAGATTTATTTTCTTTAACAATTTTATGATTTATTAAAATGTTTATAGTTTTAAAAACATTTACCAAAATTGCTTACTGGCTTACATAGAACGGAAACCGTTAAATATTTCGATTTAAATATGAAGAAATAAACATCAACTATTTCTAGAAAAAATCGTTCATTTATTTCCGACTACTTAAATTTTGAGAATACATGTATGCATTTTAAATAGAATTATGTAATATCATACGTCATATGGCACTGTTGCATTGTGTTCCGCAGGCAAGTTTAGAGAGCTGATGGAAGAGATAATAACTACAAGTACTGATGTTCTTCTTAAAAATGGCGAACATTTAGATAACGTTCTAGAAATATTTAACCTCCAAGAGCATTCATTGGGTATTCTAGCAGTGCTCTGCGTAAAATTTTCGGTGCTCAATTTTAATGAAGAATCCACCCCCGACAGTTATGAACCATTATTTAATCAAATTCAAGAATTTATCACCGGTTGTAATGGAGAACACGTTAAATTTGCTTCTGATACATGTAAGTTCTACATATTCTTGAAAAGAAATATAATAGCAGCGAAAACACTATTCTGTTTGCATTTCAGATGCAGAATTGTGTCACTTATTTACTCAAAGCTTGGTCGAATTCCAAACACCTTTACGCGGTATCGAAATATTGCGTCTTGCAATACGCAAAATACAATTGTTCGATAGTCAGCTTACCTCGATTCACGCAGACCTTTGTCATCTGTGTCTGTTTGCAAAATGTCTCAAGCCAGCGCTCGAATTCCTCGATATAAATATTACTGATATCAGTCAAGAGGAAGGACAATTTAATTCAAAACATTTTCTACTGTATTATTATTATGGTGGAATGATATACACTGCATTAAAGAACTATGATAGAGCATTGGACTTTTTCGAAGTCTGCGTAACGACAACTGCCACGGGAATTAGTTACATTATGATAGAGGCCTATAAAAAATATATCTTGGTCTCCTTGATATTGCACGGTAAAATCTTGAACTTACCTAAGTACACAAGTCAAGTAATTTATAGATACATTAAACCACTAAGTCAACAGTATCAAGAATTGGCGAACGCTTATCAAATAAGTAACTGCGATGTAATACTAAGTGTTGTTACTAAACATCAAGAACTTTTTATGAGAGATCGCAATATGGGTCTTGTGAAACAAGTACTCAACTGTTTGTACAAAAGAAACATACAAAGATTGACAAACACTTTTATGACCCTTAGTTTAAGCGATGTGGCAAGTAGAGTTCAATTATCTGTACCTGCCGATGCTGAGAAATACATATTGAACATGGTAATCAAACTTGTTATTCGTATCAAAACTGATGTATCGCACATACAGATAATGTACAAAGATGCTGTCAATTTTAGATAGAGGATGGTGAAATTTTCGCGAGAATCAATCAAAAGGATGGCATGGTAGTGTTTCTCGATGATCCAGAAAAATACAATACGTCGCAGATGTTCGCAAATTTAGAAAAGGAAATAGAGGCATGTATGAAAATGCATAAACAGGTTCTCAAAATGGAAGAAGAAATCGATCTCACGTCGCAGTATGTTCGAAAAGCTTGTGGGCTAAACGATGAAGATGATCAACTAGCTGGACCTGCTCCAAAGAATGTGAAAAATGTACAGGGACAGTCCGAACGTAACGGTAACATCTATTCCATGTAATATTCATATATCGTCATACATTGTCTTTATTAACAAAAAGAAATCGAAAGGAAGGACGAATCTTGTCCAACGCGAAAATTCGAAGTTCATTGGCGTTTTTTGGATGAAAACTGGCTAGACATCATCTATTTTGTATAAGATAAAAAATTATTATAATTATATCAAATTACAATAAAAACAATAAACGTAATCTTCCAAGCAAACATGTATACTGGAATGGAATTTAATATAATTTCCTTTGTATGTTTCGGACATACTATGGAATGGAATGGAATATAATTTCCCTTAGCATCCGAAGCAGGTTTCATGTGCAATATAGGATCTAGAATGTACGATTTTCATCTAGGGGTGTAAAAAAATGTGAAATTCTAAATCAAAAATTCCATAGTTTTAAGTCCAAAAGAAGACCAATGGTGTGTCCTGTACAACAGTCATATGACAGTTGAGTGACACCAGTGGTCCACTTTTTTCGTTAATAACTTCGGTAATAGCAATTGAAAGAAAGGGTCTAACAGAAACTTTCTATTCAGAATTTTAATTCCTTTCATATCCTCAGGAGAAAGTCTTGCATTTTAGGACGCCCTGTATTCATTATGAGCAAACAGTTATTATTGCTCGATCATCCAAGACTTACACCAAGATCTAGAAAAATTAAAATCAATATTAAAGAAAATTCACTCAAGAATAAAGTTGCACAAGAATAGGAATAATGAGAGTTAAATTTTATATCTAGCTATGCGTTACTTATCTACTATTTCTCAAAGTAAAAATTTAAAGCTCCATATTTGCTATTTATCCTTTTTTATTTTTACAAAAGAATTTATTTCTATTATTTCTATTTTCATCAGAAAAAAGTATGATTTATCTTGTTTCCTGTTAAAATATGTAGTTAAAACCTAATAAACTGGTTATTTACTTATAAAGTCCTTACTCTTTGTTTTTTCTATCAAATGCCATTTTATTTTCCCTTAACAAGGGGAAAGTCTGGTAATCTTAAACCAACAGGCATTCGATTTAACTTGTTAGATATATTATCATTTATGTATGACATATCTGTCTTATCGTGTTTGAATACCATCGTATATTTCGAAATAATCAGGTCCAGCGTGTTCTTATATTTATTTTCTTTACCTCTCCATTTCCCTACTAAAAAACAGTTTAATAACAGTAGTTCATAAAACCTACCTAAATTAAAAATTAAATTGCACACCTTTTTCGTGTACTAAAAATTCAAGACCTTTTCGTACAACTGAATTATGAAAATCTAATTCAGTTCCTTTTTCGTTAAACACATAAGAACTTTGACTCCTTTGTCTTCGAAACAGCATCAAGACCGATACATAATTAGCGCAGAATATTAACATCTCCAATAAAAACTTACCTTTTCACGAAAAGACAAGGCAAGTTTGAGGTGCAATCAAACTAAGATTTTGAAATTTGTGAAATCGGAACAAATGTAATCAAGTTTTCTTTTAAATTGTATTTAAATTGTTATGTGCTGTTGTTAAGTGCTGTAGTGGTATATATGTATACATATACATAAACAGGTTAAATCAATTCAACTCAATGAGTTAATAAGTTTATTATTTGAAAATTATTTACAAAAGCAAACACAGCAACAATACACGTAATATTCCACCAGCTGCTGTTATCAATAGATTATTGACTTGAGTTAGATGTAAGTTGTAAAAAAAATAATAAAACATAAGATTAGATTAAATACAGAGATCAGTTCGACACAAAGATTACTCAGAAATGTGTTCGAGTCTTTGACTATATATATATGGACCGCTGGTTTAGCCGAAGAAGTGTTGTAGGGACCATGATGTAAAAACATAAGGTGTGTTCTTCCGGCGTGTTCTAATGCGTCGCTGTCTACACCTTCCATTCGTCGGCCATATTGGAAGTACGATGGGTACCAGAGAGAAACTGAAAGCGCTCACTTCTTTGTTCTCAAGTGAAACCGCAACAAAAGTGCTGCACCTTGCGGTCAACTCGGAAAAGGGGTCCACCGTAGCATATTCCAGAACCTTTTCGCAGAGATCTGCCCTGTTCGGTTCCACCGTAGCAGAGATAAGAACCTCCAGGTCCACCGCAGCATAGATACAATATAGGCAGTATCAGAGTTTCTCTCTGGCAGTATTACGGATGAGATATACGAGTAGATATATATCGAAGAAAAGTCGTTCCTATGCGTACGATACCTTCGACTGGATAGACGAACAAGTTCGATGAAATATATTTTTCTTTTCCCAGTTTGTGGGTCTTACATTTAAATTTCATTACTTACTGTATTAAATCTAATTGTTTACATTGAACTTACAAGACAGGCTAGACTTCATGGAAAATCATATGTTCGTAAATGTAATTGAAGAAACGAAATACGAGCATATAAACACTCGTTGCATTCTTCAAAAATTATGAACTATATTTTGCGTTGGATATTTTGTATTTCTTTACGCATTAGATGCCTCTTGCGTTTTTTTCGATCATTTAAAATACCCATACATACAGGATCATTCGCATTCATTTCTCTAGCTGAAGCATACAATGAAAAAGGAGAATGCAATATTCATTGCTCGTAGGTAGTTATGTATTTACCAAATACATATTACATACTTATATAGTAGAGCATAGGTGAGAAATATTAAGTGAAACGCAGAAATTCATAAGATGTCATACGTTTTGTTCAACTGATAACTTTCACAACTAATTTCTGTGCCTAGAAAATAATTGTAACAGGATAATCCCTTGAAAATTCTGTCTAACCGTGTTATGCTTCTGTATAATTGCAAACCATAGTGCAGGCCATTATTCTAAAAGTCCCGACCTTTGTGAAAAGCGCACCCGCGCAAAACCACTTGAAAGGGTCATGTGTATGATCTGGCCCGCACTGAAGGACCTGATGAACCGTCAAACTGCGCACGCGAATGCTCGCGCGCAAAGTGAGAAGGAAAAAGAAATGCAAAGAGGAAGAAAGAAAGACAATATGCGGTTGTCTAGAGCCTGATCTTTACAATGGTATTTGGAATTGCAGTTACGGGTATAAACGCCTCGTAAATATTTCTGAAGTCGTGTCAAATGTGGCCCCTGAGAGGTGAATAAAACTGCCGTTCGCACTTCCACGACGAGCGGAATCTCCTTCATTGAAAATCATTTCTTTAAGCGCTATATCTTAAATAAAATAAAGGTGCATGAAGGTATAAAGAAATATTTAATGCTGATTATACGTTAGGATGCAATATGTTACTTATTTGCATAAAATTCAAATACGTTTATAAATAATGAACATAATAATTATGTCAACGATGTCAGTAACATAATATCTATACTTAATTATGTATGCTATTGCTTAATTACGCTGCAATACTTAATCAAATTATGTCCCTTGGCAAAGCAAAGAAAGAGAATATTTTCCACATACATTCCCATTCACTTTTCTTGATTAGGAAATCATTCAAACGTGCAAAATGAGAGCTTTCCTTTGGGAATTGGGAAAAATCATAGATGGGAAAAATGCGCGCGAGCATTCGCGTGCGCGGTCTTGACGTGCGATGTGCTTGACGAACACGAACCGAACATTGTCTTTATTTATTAATCTCAAATGAGCGCCTAGTCATAAAAGTCAGCCCTCTTTAGCGAAGGAAAATCGTAATTTCTTTATTTTCGTACTTACACCATTTTCATAATGAGTAGTACAAATATCGGAACAAATGAGTATGGCGAAATGGTTTAAATAAATTCATTGCAATGTGAATTAATAATGTTTGAGATTAATAAATAATCGTCCAAATGTTGTGTATGGGCTTCGCTTGATTGTAAATCGGCTCCTACTGCCTGCAATAAGATGTGGTAATCATTAGATATCGGTCGGAAATGAGACCAGTCCTAGGGCATTACAAATTGTACTTTCGCCGCAGGGGTTATCTATTGTCTCTTTTGGACAGAGATGTTCTCTCCGAACGCATTGTTCGGTCCTTTCCGACAACTCTACAGTACGGCTGTACGACTGCTCTCAGACAGCTTTCCTAACTACTGATACCCTTTTTATGTCATTATTTTATGTACGAATGAAATTACATGTTCACATATATTGGTTCCCAAAAGCTAAAACATCATTCCAATTCATGCAAATTACGATATACGTATATTTACATTTAATCACATCAATGATCCCTATTATTAATTCTCATTAATATGTATTTGTCTCGGCTACATTGTCTTCGGTTTAATGAAGAGAATCAGTAGCTAGGAGAGCTGTCTGGGAGCCGTCGAAAAGCCGTCGTAATCGAATCATCGGAAAAGTGCATGGAACCCTCGAAGCAGATAGTTGACCGTAAACAGCAGGCAGTCCGATGCCGCTACCGATTCCGAGTCGCGTGTCAGATGCGTTTCCCTACATCCTGTCCTAAAGATTACAACGATGTTTCGTTTTC